CCCCGCGGTGACCCTCGTCCCTCTGGCTCTGGCCCCCCAGCCATGTCCACGGTCAGGGCCCCGCGGTGACCCTCGTCCCTCTGGCTCTGGCCCCCGGTGGACAGCCCTGCTGCTGCAGCTCCAGGGTGCCCACCAGGTCTGCAGAGGCCCAGCCCAAACCCTTCTCCTTGGCACGCCCTATGCTGGCCTCCTACCCGCCTGCCGTCAAAGCTGATCCCAGCTCCTGGCTGCCCGGCTCCTCCCGCAGGTCCCAGGGACACATGGGCATCCCGGGGCCCCACCTCCTGCCCAGACCACCGTGCCCATGCCCTCTGTCACATGCCTGTGGGCAGCCCCACTGTTCAGCTGCTCTGTCATCTGACCTCACTCCTCAGACACAGTGTGTTTTACCCGGACTCCCTCTTCCTGGGACCCTGGACGGTCGCTTACCAAATGGCCCCGTGTGCTGGGCACCCCTCCTGGGATATCTGTCCAGAGGCCTGGCGGCAGGAACATGGCCAGTGGGAACCTGAGTGGGGCCACCGCCCTCCTCTTCCTCCTACTCAGGGGTGCAACCCCCTCGACCTCGTGGCACAGGGTCTGTCCACCTACCCATATCCGTGCCTTCACTGCAATTCTCCTCCAAGGACGTGTCCCGTGTAGTTGTGGCTGCGTTATGAATGCGGGCGTCATAATCCGATATTGATCTATTTGGTGAGCTCAGAGTTTACTGCGTTGTTCGCGTTTTAACAAAGGACGCGCTGTCCCCTGCAGGCAGGATGAAGGGCTGCTCTGACCTCTGGGGAACTCTGGGGAATACTGGCCCCAGAGAGCACAGCAGGACAGGGTGCCGGGGTCCCCGCGGAGTGTGTGCAGCTTGGGCTCCGGAGGTTCCAGAAGGGCCGCCTAGCGGCCGCGGCCATGCACACAGGACCGTGGCCCTGAGCAACCGACCAGAGACGCAGGGTCCACGAGGACAAAGACGGCACCACTGCGGCTGCCGAGGACACGGGGGGACGCGAGCCAGGTGTCCGGCGGCCCAGGGCAGGGGACGGCGCGGTCACCAGGGGCCCCAGAGGCGAGGTCACAACCAGGTCAGGGCCACACTAAAAACCAGAACCACAGTTTTCAAATCCACTTTTAGGGCTTGAATCTTTTTCAAAAACCTTTTTATGTGGAAACCCAACATAAAAGAGAAAAGGAGCTGGAGTTTTAGAGCATGAGCTGCTTCCAGGGGTTCTCGAAGTAACTTACGACCCGGCCTGCTCAGCCCAGGGGCTGGGGGGCACCGCAGGTACGGTGTAGGTGTGGGCGTGGTGCGTGCCCCCCACGGCGGCTGCTTCCACCCGTCAGACGCTGCTCTGTTTTCCACAGAGATGCTCTCCAACAAACGGGAGCACAGCCTGTCTCCAACACCCCTCCCCCGACGGGAACGCCAGGCTTCGCGCACCAGGACCTGGTTCTCGGCGCCGCCCGGCCTCAGCGGGCCCCGGAGCGCTCGCACCACTTCCTCCCTTGGGGGCACCTGGCTCCTGCCCTGGGCTGCGAGGGGAGGACGTGTCCCAGCCTCACCTGTGGTGGCCGGGGCCAGGGTGGCAGGCGGCTCTGCACACGGACACGCCTGGAGTCCAGTCCCCGGGCCCTCGTGGGGACTCAGCCCCCACCCGACACAAGGAGCATCTGTCCTGACCCTGAGGGCCCAGCACCAAGGACTCCTGGCCGGGTGTCCAGGGGAAGGTTCCAGGGGAGGCCCAGGGCACAGAGGGGAGACACGGAGGATCCGAACATGGACACCGGCGACCGTGGGCTGGCTGTGGGCCTGGGTGAGTCCCTGACCTTCGGGGACCCTGCGCTGTTGACCTGGCACTAGAGTGTTAGACATGAGGCCCGCGTGCCTGCCACTGAGTGGACATGGAGGTGATCGGTGGGCGCATGGCAGCCCGACCTGTGCTGACCCTCGGCTGCCCCAGTCCCACCATCAGCCTCAGTGCTGTCTGGCACAGCCCATGGACGAGCTGGGGGGCCAGGAGGTCTTAGGTGGGGGCCATGCTGGGGCCTCCACCTCCATGGACTGGGCTCCCAAGGAAGCAAAGCCCTCAGTCCTTGGTCAGAGCCAGAAAGGCCAGCCTCATGACACGAATAGGGAAACTGAGGCGGAAACGAGGCTGCCCATGTGGGTGTGGACCTCCACCATCTGGACGCACCAGGCATGCAGGCGGCCTCCCCTCTGCTCCCAGCAGGCACCCCGCCAGGCACGCTGGACCTGCCCACTGCCTTCAATAGGCTCCGCCCTAGGGTGGCCGACACCCTTGCAGGAGCCCCTCCAGGGGGACCAAAGGCGCCAACGGGCCGCTGACCAAGCTGCCAATGGCCAGCTCCCGGGGCACCTGCTCCTGGCTCTACTTGGGGAGTGGAGTGCAGGACGGCATGGGGCTGTCCAGCCAAGAGTCATGCCCTCAGGGAGCCGGCATGTGTGTGTGTGGATGCGAGGCAGTCCGAGCCCAGGGGGAACCTTCTGGAAGCCTCGTGACGCAGCAAGTGGGGCTGCATTCTGTGTCCTTAGAGGCACATGTTCCAAAGACAAATCAACGTCCTTCTGTGGTCTCCTTCGTCAAAGAGGACTATTAGTTTTTGAAAGTACTTGATATAAATCGTAACATAAACCAAATAATTATATAAACATTTTTGGGAATCAAAATGTTCAGTATTAAGACAGATACAGTGTCAAATCAGTGGGATTAAGTGAAGACCCCGCAGGGCTCAATCTGATTCTCCCCAGTGGCACGTGGCTCCCTAGTTACCACAAGGGAAGACCACGGACAGCCGGAAGCCTGGTCATGCGGTGTCGGGTGTGATGCTGAGGGCCGTCGCCCCGAGAAGAGCCGGATGGCGGGCAGCCTGCTCAGGAGACGGTGGCCCGAGTGTGTGTCCCAGCCTCAGGCAGGAGGATCGCGGGCTCGTCCCCCCGGAGAAAACACCACGCCTGGGGTCAGGCCTGGGGGTGGGGCAGGCCACACACAGGGCAGGGGTGGGGGGTGGTTAGGTGAATGGGCCCCGTGGGGCCTGGAGGGAGCGGCACAGAGAGACGGGTCAAGGGTCAAGGCTGAGCGGCGGCAAGGCCCTCGGTGGTAGCCACAGCCACCGCAGGGACAGGGGCCGCATGGCCGCAGACACAGACCACCTGGCTTACCCGTCACAGGAGCCTGCCAGGCCCTGGCCTAGAAGGTTCCTGTGGGGCCGCACGTCCCCCGGGGGGGCCACACAGGCAGCCCCAGGCCGTGGGATGCGTACACGCACGGGGCTGTTTGCCCGGTGTGCATGTGCAGACCCCGGGCAATGCTTGTGTTCTCTGCGGAGACGTTACTGAGTTTTGCTGGGAGACCTGCTGCCTGGGGGATGCTGGTGGGCACCGTGGGGGCCCATTTGGCGCCAGCGTGGGTGTGGCGGTGGGGACGGAGCAGAGGTCCGTCTGAAAACCAGCTCGGGGCTGAGCAGGCCTCGCCCTGGGACCTCCCTTCTGTCGGCCCCAGCTCGGTCCCCTCTGAGGTAGGGCTCTAGTTTACAGAGGATGCCAGCTCACTGGTGCCTGGCCTAGGGGCACCCTGGTCGCCCGGGTAGAACTGCCTGACGAGGTCCCTCTTGTTGATCTTCCCCATCTGGTTCCGCGGGATCTCCTCCACCAGCAGGAACTCCGAGGGCACAGCATACGGGGCCATGACGCCCCTGCGGAGACAAGCAGGGTCTGAGCGGCAGGAACTTGGGGCCCGGACGGCCCCCTCCCCATGGGACAGGCAGCCCGGTCCCCCAGGGCCCAAAGCCCAACCATATCTGGTGCCTGCCCCGGGAGGGCGTCTCTGCTGTGACTGCGAACCCGGAGGTGCCGCGGCCCATGTTCCAGGCCCACCCGTGGGCAGAGGACAAACCCTCCTCAGGGCCAGGCCTCCCAGAGCCAGGAGGAGCAGGTCCCACTCTCGGCTGGCTGTCACGACAGCAGGCCACAGCCAGATGGGTGGAGCAGGCAGGTGGGTAGGGCCAGGGGACCCTTGCAGAGCCCTGGGCATGGCAGCCACGGCCACGTGGGCTGGGGCCGCGCTCCGGGCAGAGCCCTGTGATAAGCAGTGGGAGGGGCTGGTCTGTGGGTCCGAGAGCTGCCCTGCGTCCCGCACTCCCACGAGGAGCCCCCATTAGATGGTGCGTTCTCCCGTGAGGGGCCACGTGGACGGGTCCTGCCACCCACAGGCTCTACTCAGAAACTCCTCCTTGGGCAGCAGGCACTGGTTCTCTCCTGAGGCCCTGTCCAAGCCACCTGCCCCTTGCCCTCCGACAGCCGCACATGGGGCCACATCCCCTTTGTAAGGAGAGCACAGCGTGCCACCAGGCAGGGGTGTGCCCGGGGCCAGGAGGCCGTGTGTGGCCCTCTGGGCTGCAAGCTGTGGGGGCAAGCTCAGCCACTGCGGAGGTATCGTGGTGAGCTCATGACACCCCACTGAACGCACCATCACCTTGGGGCGGCTCGTGCTGAAAGCAGCCAGCCACAGGCCAGCACGGGGCAGCTGGGGGTGCAGGTGAAGGCTTGTGAGGGGAGAGGGTGCCCCACCTACAGTCCTGGCAGCTGTGAGAGACGGCCGGCGGCCCACAAGGGTAGGACTGGGCTGGGCTTTGCTGGAACAAGCCACCAGGACTGTGCAAGGGACTCTGGCGGCATGGCGGGGCAGCGAGCCCCTGAGGCCCGATCAAGGAACGCACCCCTCTGAGCACCCCAGCCCCATGTCTCAGGGGTGTGTGGGCGGCTCTCCCCACGCCTGCTTCCCCTGCGGCCAGCCAGCAGCAGGCTGGTGCCAGGGCCCAGAGAGGGAGGCCCGAGGCGCCGGCCGCTCCCGGTGCTAGGCAGCCAGGTGAGCAGGCCACGGAGCATGGTTGCCCATCATCCAGAGAAAGCACCCTCAAGAATGAAGACCAAGTTCAAGGCATTTTCAGACAGAGACGCAGACAGTCCCCACGGGAGCAGACCGGCAGCAGAGACGAGCGGGAGGCTGCCGAGGAGCCCGCGCCCGGGGGCAGGCTGGGACATGCGTCGTCTCCTGGGGACTGGACCCTCTCGGAGAGACGACCCGTGAACAGAAATACAGCTGACTCTTGAACAACACCAGTTTGAGTCGCATGAATCCACTTATATGTGGGTTTTTGGATAAATGCGGCAGAGGACTGAAAATGTGTTTGGTCTCCCTTGTGATTTTCTTCCCCTTTTCTTTGCTGCAACTTACCTTGCCGCACAAGAACACGAGACACGATATGCACAACGTACAAACTACGTTCGATCGAGTGTTCTCGGTGAGCAGGTCAGTCTGCTCAAGGGTCAGCCGTGCTAAGAGCGTGGAGCGAGAACAGTAGAGGGTGTCGCCGGGGCCCGGGTCGGGGTGCAGACGGTGGTATGTGAGAGCAGGGCGTTATGAACCCTAACTTAGCAGCCACTTTTGAAAATAGGAACAAAAGCCACAGAAGTCAGAAACGATGTAGAAGTGTTAGGAAGGACGGCTGGGGGCCCCGGCATTTCCAAGAACAGCAGGCCGTGGACGCGGGGGCCTGACGACTCTGCCCGGGACGTGTTTGCACGGTGGACCCCATGCGTTTAGACTCGCCTCAAGGCCAAGTTGAGCTGGTGTGAAAAAGCAGGCTTCTGGGGAAACATGGTCCACAGAGGAGGTGTCCTCCCGGGAGAAGGCGTGGCGGGCACAAAGTGAGGATGGAACACTAAGCCAAAGCCCACCACTCCTCCGTGGTCTCATCAGACATCAATTGTGGGTCAAGAGCACGGATCCTGGATTCTTCCCTGGTGTGTAAATCCCACGTCCCTTTCCAACTTGGTATCTGGGGCACAGAAGGGCAGTGGGTGGGCCGTGTCCTGGGTCCTGCAAACGTGGCGCTGTTGCCCTACTCCAGGCCACGCTCACCCCCTCAAGGGGACACTGGCTCTGGCCCGAGGAGCACAGACTGAGGGAGGAATCTTGAGAAAGGAAAACCACGGGAGCGCAGAGGTGACAAGGAGGGAGAGCACCTTCCCTAAGAGCCATGTCCGGAGAGGCAGAGTGAGGATCCAGAGTCCGACCTGGCCTCCATGGGCTGCGTGGCCTCAGCGTCCCCACCCAGTGATGGCCCAGCTTGAGGACACAGAGGCCTGGACGCTGGCCTCACCGTGGGACAGTCCTGGGGACGGCGGGTGGGCTGCCTGCCCTGACCTCCCAGGGGTGTCCCCCACCCCCACCCCAAGCGCAAAGCCCCCGCCTCAGGTCTTCCCGCGGCCTTGGTCACAAGCCTGACATGGGCGCACGCGGCTCCTGAGAGCGGACCCTGACTCTCTCGTGTGTGGTGTTTAATTGAAGCTGCAACAACGACTAGAATTTTCTTCTTTGTTGAACACCCTGCTCCAAGTGTGATTCTGCAAATCCAGGGGAAGCTAATCGCCCAGCTGTGCTGCCCCTTCATGAAATGAGGGGCTCCTGCTGTTGTGAAATCATGTTGGACGAGCCAAAAATATCTTTAGCGCTGAGGAGGGAGGCAAGTTGGGAAGGAAGGGGGTGCAGGGAGCGGGCAGAGGAAGGAGAAACTTCTCAGATTGGAAATAAAGAATTTGGGGGACATTACTAACAGCTTCCTTTCTGAGCTCGGGGCTGTGGCCACGCTGTCTGTCCCCCGGCCTCTGGCGTGACTGACCGTGGGGCACGACAGGCACAGGGAAGGGGGACTGTGCGTGTCGGCACGCAGAGAAAGCCCTGGGGCCATGGCACGTGGGCACAGAGGCTCTGGGGACGGTCTAGGGTAAGGTGAAGGTGAGCGCGCGGGGACGCATGGTGAGGGGACAGGCCTGCGGTGGGGGCACAGGCGAGGGGATCACCGTGGCCCCAGCTCCCAACGGCCACGTTCAGCACAGGGTGGGTGGGTGAGGGAGCAGGACGGGAGGCTCTCTGCCTTTGGATTCCTTCTGAAGCCGGGGGAGGACCCTGCAGCCTGTCCCATGGCTGGGGCTCCCACCCCGTGGTCCCGGCTCTGTCTGTCTCCCCGGTGACCGTTATAAAGCTTCCCTGCGGCCCTTTGTGTGTTGGGGGCAGCCTCGGGAATGGAATGTATCACCTGACCTTCCAGGCAACCCCTCGACCCTGAGATGGATGGTGGCAAGACCCGAGACCCTGCCTGCCTCCCCCGACCCCGGGACAGTCCACCCCCGACCTGTCCCTTCCTCCAGCCCCACGAATTCCCCTGCCTGCCCCTACCTTGCCCACTCTTTGAGCTCCCTGTGGGACAGCGAGTGTCCCTCCTGAAGGGTCACCACTGCAGTGAGCCGCTGGCCCCAAGTCATGTCTGGAACTCCAATCACAGCCACATCTGTGGACAGAAAGAATGCTGTGCTGACTGCCGCAGGCTGGGGACGCACCCAGAGGGGAGCATGGGGTCAGCATGGCTGGTCCTCCCGGGGACGGGGCGAGGCCCGGTCCCCACGGGTCTCCCGGCTGGAGCTCAGGGTGGGGCTGGCTTTCCTGCGTCTCTGCCCTCCCTGCACTGCCCCAGGGCTGGGGACAACCCGTGAGCCACGTGGGGGGGCCCCTGCCATCTCCAGGGTCCTCAGCCTGTGACCTGAGGTCAGGGGCAGGTCTGGGTGGGGTCCACACTTCCTGGACCAGCAACCACCGGTGGCCACTCCGGCACAACCAGGATGCTCAGCCCACGGCCACCGGGAACAAGACGGTGCTGCTGAGCCAACCAGCAGCAGCCCGCTCAGGCCGGGACCCCAGCCGCGGTACAGAGGTGGGGGGCGCATGGATGGCAGGCAGAGGGACCCCTCCTGGGTGTGCCCCAAGGGTGGGTCACCTGGTCCGGTTCTGTCGACAGTCAAACACAGCCGGAAGCACATCTGGAATGCTGCCAGAGGGTCAGGTCTGGACCCTGCTTGCTGTGGGAGGCCCTGCCACGGGCCAGGGGGCCACGTACCTGTGATGCTGGGGTGTGCCAGCAGCAGCCGCTCTACCTCCAGGGCGCTGACCTTGTAGCCACCACTCTTGATGATGTCCACGGACGTGCGGCCCCGGATCCAGTAGCTGCCGTCCTTAAACACGGCCGTGTCACCTGAGAAAAGGTGCTCTGGTCAGGACACGCGCCGGGCCCAGCATGTTTCGAGGGGCACCCACGTGGTGAGCAGCGCCCCCCACCCCCGTCACATGCTGGGCGCCTGTGTCTGGGGGCATCGATATCCCCACACGGTGACCCATGCTGGGGCCGGGGTGCACGTGGGCCGTTTCAGGACAAGGCGGCAAGCATGAAGCTCAACGGCTGAGACCTCAGCCTGTGGTCCAACCCCAGACGGCCCTGTGCAGACAGCAGCATCCCACAACGGCCGATGGGGGCCGCCTGTGAAGACCAGGCTCAGAGGCAGGACGGCCGGTGTGGTCACCACCCAGCTCGGCCCCTTCCCGCTCTTTCTCAGGCTCCTGCAATCAGAACAAGAATCAGCCGCCTCCTGCCATCCCACCGTGGGGTCCCAGCCACAGCAGGGTCCTAGTGGAGAGGACATCACTGCAGCCCCCCTTCACTCGTGGGGTCTCCCGGGCTGCAAGGCAGTCACACGGAGTCTCTGAAGGAGGACAAAGCCCTCCTGCCCCTCCACGTCAACTGTGTGGTTTCCTGTCATGCTTCCCCACGTGGCAGTCCCCTCGGAGACCCACCTGGTCCCCTCTCAGGCCATGCTGGGCGATGGGATGCTCACCAGGCATCCTAGCATGAGCAGGTGGTGGGGTGGGGGACAGCGAGGGCCAGCCCAGAACAGAGAGGGCGCAGGGGAGGCGGGCCTGAGTGTGTGCGCGCGCATGTGCATATGTGTGGACGCATGTGGACGTACATGCGTGTGGACATGTGCATTGTGGAGGTGTGTGGACATGTGTGTGGACATGTACATGTGTGGACGTGTGCACGGACATGCATGTGGACATGTGCATGTGCGGACGTGTGTGGACGTACATGCGTGTGGACACGTGCATTGTGGAGGTGTGTGGACATGTGTGTGGACGTGTACATGTGTGGACGTGTGTGGACATACATGCGTGTGGACATGTGCATTGTGGAGGTGTGTGGACATGTGTGTGGACGTGTACATGTGTGGACGTGTGCGTGGACGTACATGCGTGTGGACATGTGTGTGCTCCCACAATGCACGCACGTGTGCGTGTGCCTGTGGGGACGCCCCCATCCAGCCCTCTGAGAACAGCGCTGGCGCCTCCCTGCCTATGCTCACACACCCGAGCCCCATGTTGGGTCATTAGCTGGAATAAATCATCGATGTTTCATTACGAGTCACGCCACCCACGCAGGAAGGCACCATCCATCATCTGCCACAGCCCAGGGCGTGATCCAGTCTATAAACGGGACAGATGCCTGTGCGTGGATGGGTGGCCGGCTTACTTATGGCGGCGTGGGAAGGCGAGGCTCTGAGGACAGGCCACGAGCGTGGTGGGTTCTCTCCTGCTGACAGGAAGCGGAGGCTTGCAAGTGCATCCTTGGAAAGGGCGTCGTGGCCCCAGGATGGGCTGCAGGGTGGCGGCTGGCGGGAAGTGGTGCAGGTGTGGAGGAGCAGGAGGGGCCACAGGGAGGCCTGGGGTGGACGAAGCCCGCCCTGGGTCCCGCGAGGCCCCCTGTGCTCCCCACTCCTGGGGTGCAGGCGCCGCTCTGGCTGCGTCCCCTCCCCACTGGACGGCTGCATGCTCTCTCCGGAGAGCTGTTCCTTAAAGGCACCAAGGGGCCCAGTCTAAGCTGTCACTGCCCTCCTGCTGCCGGACGGACACTGCACTAGCTCCGGGCCCTCTGGTGCCTTCCTGGACCTGCTCCCACCACCTCTACTTGCCCAGAGACCCAGCAGAGCGAGGGACCCTGCCCTGGGTTCAGGCTCCTGTCCCTGGTTTCCCTGCCGGAGACGCCCTGCACTGCCGAGACCACGGCTGCTGAGGCTGGGGGGCATCTCCCTGACGCGGCCCCTGCCCCCTGGGCTGCTCTTCCGGTCCTACCCTTAGCATCAGGAAAGGAGGCAGTAGGCTCTGGCTCATGTCCCCGGATGGGGGAGCACCACGTCTGCTCACTGTGAAGGGGTGAAGGGGACCGGAATGGGACTGCCCTGCTCTCCAGGGACCCCTCCCCACGCTGCCTGGAGACCCTCAGACGCCAGTTGTCTCAGTTCTGAATGAAGGACCACAGGGGCCGGGGAGCGCAGGCTGATCAGGGGACGCACTTGGAACTGAGGCCCGGTCCCAGAAACAAGGGCCCTCAACACCCCTTCCAGGCCTTTCTGCTCCATTTCCTTGGGTGTTGGCTGACACAGACGCTGAATCCCAGCACAGAGACGGTGGCTGGAGACCAGCGCTGTCCCCAAACTCCCATGAGTGTCTAACCCACGGGCAGCCCACCTCTGAAGGGCAGGACGTGCCCAGTGCCAGGATGGGGCTCAGAAAGAGGGGTCCTGGGCGGCGAGGGCGGAAGCCGTGTACAGAGCCCTGCCTGACATCCATGTGTGACAGCGCTGCCCGCCTGCCGTGCTCCTGGGCGGGACAGAGCCCCAAGCACAGCGTGGCAGGAATGGCTCGGGAGGCCACGCGGCTCCCTCAGCTTCCCCTGCGTCTCTGCGCACCTGAGTTGGCAGCTCCCAGGAGGGCGGGTTAAACAGACAGCAATCGCCCAAACCCCAAAGACCCCGGAGCAGGCAACTTCAAGGTTTTGGATAAACTGAACAAAGCAGGAGGGGGGAACAGACGCGCTGCGGCATCTGAGGAGTGTGGGCAGTCCTGCGGACTCCGTGCGGCCTGGCGGCGCCTGCCATCCACGGCGGAAGAAACCCTCACGTGCCTCCCCGACGCAGCTGGGGGACAGACGGGGACAGTACCGGCCCGCTGCGCATGCTCACGCCCGGGGAGGCGGAGACACTCCTTGCCGAGCACACCCCCTCGTGTGCTCCCGCGGGGGCCCGGAGCCTTCCCTCTGGTGCCACGTGACACACGTCAGGCCCAGCCTCACCGTGGACACCAAGCTCCCTGCTCTGTGGCCAACGTCCGGCCCTGCCTCTGGGGAGATGCGGGCTGAGCCTGTTTTCAGGCAGTGACACCCAGCACGGGCCGGCTCCACACCACGGGGCTGCACCCCCTTCCGTGCTTCCCCAAGTGTCTGCCTCATGCAGGGTCTGGTGTGGAGCGGGGGGCCCAGCCGGGGGATGTGGAGGCCAAGGGAATCATGCTGAGGGAAGAAGGCCAATCCCCAAAGGCTACACTTGTCGGGTCTGTCTCTGTGCCACTCTGAACGACAAGCAGTGGGCTGGGGGGCGAGGGCCACAGACGTGGGGCCGCAGAGCAGCACGGACCTACATGTGTGCTGAGGATGGTGAGCAGAGCCCACACACAGGTGCACATACATGTGTAGGGCTGGGGGGCCCTGGACAAGCCCAGGGACGGGCTCTGGTGTCGTGCTGGTGACCAGGACGTGGACACTGGGGAATGGTGTGAAGGTGCAAGGGGCCACCCTACTCGCCATCTGCAGCTTCCTGCGAATCTCTACCTATTGCAAAGAAAGCGTTTTAAGAAACCGCTGTTTGGTTTGTGGAGAAGTCCTGCCTCCCCTGGGGGCTCACCCCCAAGTCAAGTCACTCCAGTGTCTGCAACACACTCTGACTAAACAATAATTTCAGAAAAGAATCTGTGTTAACTAAACTCACGACCAAAAGCAAGCACAAGAAACTGCCCACCGCGATGCTAATTAACGCGCCTGATGAGGCTGTCTGTCCGTCAGGTGTCAGCACCCCGCCCCTGCTGGAAAACACCTGCCCTGCTCTCCCGGGGATGCAGGGCGGCAGCTGAGAACCCAGCCTCCCACTCTGCTCCTGGCGCATGTCGGGCACCATCAGGCCCCCTGAGCCTGGCCCGGCTGCTCTGGCATCGCCCCAAGACAGGGCTGGGGGCTGGGGCAGGTAGGGGGCAGCTCATGGTGGGTCGACTACCCCCGGCCATGGGGCAGCTCGGCCTCCCAGGTGTCCTTCCTGCTTTCAGCCCCCACGTGTCGGCCAGGCTCCGGAGCAGAGAGAATCAGCCGGACAGCTCCCAGCATCGCAGGATACGGTGTCCCGAGCGCCAGCACGAGGAGGGACGTCAAAGTCAGGGCACCCAAGGCACTCGACTTGTCCGACGTGGACTCTGGGATGGAGAAGATTCTCTAGGACTCCGAAGAGGGGAAAGGTCGTACGGTGCCAGGAAGGACGACGTGGCTGCAGCTGGTAGAAGCGTGGAAGCCAGAAACCGAGAGAGCGTCTCGAACCCTGAACTCTACCTCGCCCGACCGAGCGAAGACGCTGCCAGACACCCACTCCCCGAAATGCACACCCCACACCTCTACTGTCAGGAGGCTCCTGGGGAATGCAGCGCGCAGACTGTGGAGCAGAAGGGAAGGAGGGAGCTGCAGGAGGAGCCTGGCGGGGCGGCGGGCCCGGGCGTCTCCCCCAAGCGGCAGGGTGGCACCCGGGTGCCTCACGCAGGGAACCGAGAGCGCAGAAGGACCACGGTCCCCATGAGGCTGCATCCACGGCCCCATGGTGCAGACACTGGGGGGACGGGTGTGGAGAGCAGCCTCAGAGCCAGGTGCGAATGGCCACTGGTCAGAGCCGCGGGTCTTCCAGCCATGCCCGCATCACTCCAATAAAACCCGAAAACTGACCCACACTCCTCTGCGCAGGGGTCTGGGACCGACATGGGAACAGCGCAGGGACCCCAGGAGCCAGCCCACAGGCAGCTGGAGCTCGACATCCAACCAAGGGAACGCGGCCTCACGTGGCCACTGGGTCACCGCGTCACTGCCCACGGAACAGGGTCCGAGACTAGCTTTATGAACGCAAAGCCTGACAAGGGGCAGGAGAGACCCAGGAGCGCAACCCCACGAGCCCTGGGAAACAAAGAACTCTGAAGCAAGATAAAACAACCAGACACGACACATCCAAACCTTCCGCTCACAGAAGGGGCCGCCAGTACCGGGGCCTAGCCAGCTGCAGACTGCACGGCCGGTCCCGCCAAGCATGCCCGGAGGGGCCCCGCTGCCTGGCACACCCTTCACGGTGACCCTGCCTCCGGGTCAGCGGGCGCACAGGTCGGTGACAGCCGTCCCCTCCGCGCACCCACACCCACTCACACGCAGCACGCGGCCTAGTTCCTAACTGCGCCTCGCTGGCCAAGACGGAAGATCTCCTTGTTGGAGGAGGAAAGCGGAACCCCAACTGCGGCGAGGCAGGAGGTGAGCAGACGCGGCCCGAGCGCCGCTGAGGCCTTCTCCATCGGAGGTGTGAAAGGTTAGCGTGTCACGCCGTGTCGCTGAGAGCGATGACGCTCACCGAGGGAGCACCAGAGGCCAGGCATCCAAGGAAGGAAGGAGCCCGCCCACAGGGGACAGCGGCCGGCGGCTGTGAGAACCACGCATGTGCAAGACGCGTTATCAGTTCATGTCACCGCTCTCCAGAACACGGTTTCTAAGGGCCTCCCGACAGCCGCTGCTGGACACCTGTGGACACGGGCGGGGTCCCCGCCCCGCACTTTATTAAAAACGCTGTGGCAGACGTCCATGCGCCCGGCTCTGCCCGCCTCTCGTCATTCCCTTTGGCCCAGAAACACTCCTGACCCACAGTCCCACCTGCAGGGGAAAGGACCTGCCTCACGGCAGCAAGGCCCAGCTTGGTCAGAATCTTTCAAATTCGGCGACAGGAGGCCATCTCTGTGTTTCTCTCCCACGGTGAGGAAGACCCCGTATCTTACATGTTTTTATGGCCAGCTTCTCTGCTCTCCTGGGATCTGCCCATCGCCAGGGCTGCCCGGGCCCCGTGAGCGTGCCTCTGGGGAGCATCCCCACGTGGGCGCCGATGCCCGCCAGGGCCCCCTCTGTCGCCCTGCTGTGATGTGTGTCTCTGGGAGTAACGTCACGTGCTTGCCCTGGAGGAAGGCAAGAACCTGCTGATGCTCTGGTGGATTTTCCCAGGGTCCTTGCTTCCCATCTCCTAAGTGCCCGCGACGTCCATGTCGTGACACTAAACAGTGCACGATGAAGGATTTTTAGAGCAAGTCAGAGGCCGTTCGTGTCCTTACGCTCAGTTAGCAGCAGCATCTGAGCTGAGTGGCAGGCGTCAAAGGAACTATAAGGTCTGCTCAGCTCGGTCCCCATGTCCGTCTGTGTCCCCAGCTCCGTGTCCTCGTCTCCCTCATCTCTCATCATCTCCGTAGCCTCACCTCCGTCCCTTGTCCTCACCTCCATTCCATGCTCATCCTCGTGTCCTCACCTCCGTCCCGTGTCCTCACCTCCATGTCCTCTGTCCTCTGTCCTCTGCTCGGACAGCAAGGTCAACATAAAGGCCCGAGGGCGCCTGGCTCCTGGAATCACCTGTCCCCATGCCCTGGGCTCGTGTTGGTGCCCGTGGGCATGTCGAACAGCCTCTCTCTGGTCGTGGTGGTACTCAAGTAAGAGCCGGAGGAGGGTCACCGTGGCTGTCGGCAGAGTTTCTGGGGGGAGACGCTGGGTCTCCTTTGTAGCAGCCGCGACCCCTGGGGGCTGGCAAGGAACTCCTTGCACATCTGGGGAAGGAGGACAGGGCAAGGCAGGGAGGGCAGGAGCGGCTGGTGACCTCTGTCCTCCCACCCAGGCGTGGACCTGGCCCTTCCCCGAGGCCCACGAGCAGCATCTCTCCAGCTCCCGCCAGAACCCGCGGCAGGAGGGGCTGGCCAGGGAAAGGGTTAAGTTTAATTTACCCTGATTTCTATTTAATATCATGCTCTCCCTGCAGGCGCCGGCAGCTGCGAGCTGATTGCACCCGCTCATTATGCAGCCCCGTATCGCTAATGGCCCGTGACAAAGGCACACGGCTCCCAGGCCTCACCCCCGAGAGCCAATTAAACACACACACTCCCTTCCTGTTTGCAGCGCATTACAATGAAATTAAACTGAATTTCAAAATCATTTTCTCCTAAAGACATCTCTTTACAATAATTAATGCATGCTATTCCTTTTCAACTCAAATATTCATCAGCAGCATGACTGAATGTTTTAACGCTGACTGCCCCGCACTTTCCTTTGCTGCCGCCCGGCAAAGCTACAGGGCTTGGGTTCCTGTGCTTTTAAAGAAAAAAAACCCCTAAAGCTTTTATCTGAATTTAAAAATAAAAGGAGCTGGCCACAAAGCAAGTTAGGTTTCCACACAGGGACCATTCAGAGGCCGGCAGGAGGGACGTACAAGCCTGCACCTGAGGGACAATGATGGACAGGGGCCTGCCACTGTCACACCAGCTCGTGGGAACGCCGTGCTCACGATGGAAGCCAGGCATGTTAACATGCTGACCGCACCCTCACACGGACACCGGGCGTCCCGAAACAGGTGACCAGGGCTCCTGGGGCCCGACCACACGGAGCCCTCTGCTCCCGTCAGGGTTCCCGAGGTCCAGCCTTGCTCTGAAGGCTGACAGACGTCCACGCTGCACGCCCTTCCTAACCACCCGCGCACCGGCTTCCTGTGCCCAGCACAGAGGCTCAGGGGAGGCTGGACACTTCCCCCTGCAGCTGCCGGGACGCGCACTTCACAGGCACAGAGCAGAGAACCACAGACAGCTGCAGGACCACAGCGTGGACGTGAGACTGGCCGGGACCAGCAAGTCTGGACCCAGTGCCACCTGGCAGTGTGACAGGAAGGGGGCCCTCGACACCCCCCACCAGGAAGACCCTCCATCTGCCCCCTTCACACCCAACCCTCACCTGGCAGGCCTACACAGCACCCCGAGACTGCCGGGCCCATGCGGGTCCCTGCTCTGTCACTCGGTGACCTCAGGTCTGTGACAGCAGCAGATGAGAGTGGGCACGCGATCCCGCCCCCGAATCCATGCCAGTCTGAGCTCAGTGAGGTGCTCATGCGACCACTGTGTGGCCACGAGACTAGGGGCCACAGCCACCAGCCTTCTCCTAAGAGATGCGTGGCAGTCCCATGGCAGCCCGCTCCACCTGCTTGCAGCCTTTCTCCTCAGCTCTGCGCCCCACAGGACAGGGAATGAGGCCGGCTTCTGGCTCTGGGGCCGCATGTGGGGAGATGTGAAAGCAGGCCTTTCTTTTTAGAAAATATTGTCTTAAGATTACTATGAAATGATGCATTGTCAGCAACAAAGTTTTACACGTACAGACGGGCAAAAAGAAAAGGACCACCTACATGCCAGGAGCTCATTCTCAATGAGCTACAAACCTAATATTCAATATTCACAGTGTCTGCTGTAAAGTCCGTATTTCGGGACCACTGGGGCCAAGGAGGGGAGACAGGGGATCCTGAGCAGCTCTGGGTCCTGCTGGGAGGGCACCACCTGCACACCAAGCACAGGGCCCCAGGCGTAGCGTGGAGAGTAATGTAAGATGACCCAAAAGAAAGAGGAACCATGTTCTACCAGAACGACTTGGATCCTGGGGGTGGGGGGGTTGGGCAAGAAGGTTCATAAAGCAGGGGGCTCGGGGTAGGTGGTGGGGCGGGGAGGCTCTCTGACATCCAGGCCCTGCTGCTGCCTTCCTTCTAGAGGTTGTTGGGGCCCTGGGGGTAGGGTGAGGATGCAGCCTTGAAGACGGGAGACACAGAGTGCACTGCACCCCATCTCTGCCCTGGACAGAAGATTTTGGGGTGTCCGGGCCACCCCCTGCTGGCCTCCTCCTACCTGTCTTGAACCAGCCATCCCAGGTGAAGGCGTCTTTCGTTTCTTCTGGTTTGTCCCAGTATTCTCGGAACACAGATGGCCCCCTGACCAAGAGCTCCCCTTCCTTCTCCTTGAACCCTGGGGTCACCTGTAGCATGGGAGAGAGCAGACACCTCTCAGGATGGGGACTCCACCTGCCTTCCTTGTGACCCCCCCAACGACCACACCCTCTTCTGAAATTTGTTGGAAATGACTGAAAAATGCATCTTGCAACGCGGGAACTCAATCAGACGGCTAGGAGTGGTGTCGGCCCCATCATGGCGGGGAGCTGTGTGTCACCGCATTCGTCCTCTAGACTCGAAGCCATGAGTCACTGGCCCATGTCACAGGCGGCGCCTGGCTGGATTCGAGCTGCCCGTCCATGTCTCAAAGCTGTGCACAGAGCAAAGGTGACTGAACGGAGGCCAGGGACACTCTGTTCTGACTCATCAGCTCCCACCTGGAATGAACTTATTCTGGGGAAGAACCATCCCCCTCCTTCAAAACAAAAGCAGAGACCCTTCAAAAAAGGCTGTCAAACTGTCGGACTCATCTGTCTGAGGCCTGAACATAGCCCATACTTCTAAGGCTGACACAGTAGGTGGACAATCAGAGCCTGTCCCGCACCAGCAGCTCTCGGTTGATGCCACAGCCCACCTCCCACTTCAGGGCCCAGCCCGGCGCCCGCCATCCAGCCTGTGTGGAGGAGGTCTGTTTGTTTTCCAACCAAAGCAGACTTTATTTGAACTTCACCCGTTTCCCCACTGCTGCCCTTTATCTGATCCACTGCCAAGGTCAGACTGTTCTCGCCAGAGATGGGGGACCTACTTCCAAGCATCGGCCCTGAATCCCAGATCCAGTGAAAGTAATGTTCAGGGAGCGCCTGGGTGGCTCAGTCATTAAGCATCTGCCTTCGGCTCAGGTCATGATCCCAGGGTCCTGAGATCGAGTCCCACACCGGGCTCCCTGCTCAGCGGGGAGTCTGCTTCTCCCTGTGCCTGGCGCTCCCCCTGCTTGTGCGCTCGCGCTATGACAAATAAATAAAAATCTTTTTTTTTTTTTTTTTAAGATTTTATTTTATTCATTTGACAGAGAGAGCGAGAGAGGGAACACAAGCAGGGGGAGAGGGAGAAACAGGCTTCCCGCGGAGCAGGGAGCCCGATGCGGGGCCCGATCCCAGGACCCTGGGATCACGACCCGAGCCAAAGGCAGACGCCTAATGGCTGAGCCACCCAGGCGCCCCAAATAAATAAAAATCTTAAAAAAAAAAAAAGCAACATTCAGGATGGAGGAAAAGACAAAGACACCTGTAGATAAAGAAAAAACAAGAGAACTTGTGGCCAGCAGATCTCATCTAAAAGAATAACCAGAGAAGGCGCCTGAGTGGCTCAGTCGTTGGGCGTCTGCCTTTGGCTCAGGTCATGATCCCAGGGTCCTGGGATCGAGTCCCACATCGGGCTTCCTGCTCAGCAGGAAGCCTGCTTCTCCCTCTCCCACTCCCCCTGCTTGTGTTCCTGTTCTCACTGTCTCTCTCTGTCATATAAATAAATAAAATCTTTAAAAAAAAAAAAAATAACCAGAGAATGTTCTTCAGACAGAAGGGAAATGAGGCCAGAGTTAACACAGAAAACTCAGAAATGAAATAAAACCAACAGAATCAGTAAATACCTGGGTGAATAAAACTGACCATTCTGTTTCTCATGAGTTCTTTCAAACAATTTGGAAGGCGGAAAGCAAACGCTATAACCTCATCTAACAGTGATTACACCACCACCACATGTAGATATTCCACACGAAAACCAGGCGACACCGGGAGAAGGCAAAGTGACCCCATACGGGGGCAACAAAGATTCTTTGCCTGACCAGCCTGTAGTCAGGCTCCCCAACCTTCTCCTAGGCCATCTGGGCTCCTCCTGTAAAATCCAGTTCTAGCAAGAACCTTGCTACATTAGTTTAGCAAGAGTCCCCCACCCTGATACCTGGTCACCCTCAAATCTGCTATCACCCCCAGGTGACATGTGATCACCCCAGCCTGCCCTCAGCAGAGATCTTGTCAGATCGGTTTAGCCAGACTCCCCACTCAGCCCTGATGTGTCTCCTCAGCAAGTGTCCACCCACTGATCCCACCTGCTGCTTGGGAGTGAATGTCCACTGGGCCTGCTGCATTCACAGTTGTGAAACCCCACTGTAGGGGCCCTACAGCTACCCCAGTAGTCCTTAATAGAGTTCGCCTTGCCGCCTTCAATAAGGGTCACTGAATGTTTTCTCTCTGACTGTAGGAATTCTACATCTTCGGGGAGTGTTAAGTGCTGAATCTAAGTAGGTCTCAAAAAGTGAAGTATGTATATTGTAGTCCCTAGAACTACTAAAAAACTGTGTAAGAGCAAACGGTCAAAAACTCAGCAGGTAAATGAAAATGTAACACTAAAGAATGAGTCCAAAGAGGCAGTGAAAGGGAAGCTGAGCAACGAGGAACTGAGCAGACAAACCATGAGGAGGTAATAAATGGTGGCAGGTGAGGTTCAAACATTTCAGTAATCAGGTTAAATGTAAGTACAGCTCTAAACACACCAATTAAGAGATTGCCAGACCGGACTGAAAAACCATACATGATCCAACCCTATACTGTCTATAAGAAACTCACTTCCAGGACAGTTACCCAGGCAGGTGAGAAGCAAGGGGATGGGACCATATAGACCACAGAACACCAATCAAAACAAACAATATTGACTACAGCTTTATTAACACCAGACAAAGTCAATGTAAGAGCAAAGAACAAGCAGGATCACCTGACAATAGAACGGTCAGGTCACCAAGAAAACATAACAACTATAAATGCGCATTCACCAAGAAAGAGACTTTCAAAATACACCAGCAAAAATCCAAAAGCAGAAACAGACAATTATGGTGGGAGAGTCACCCCCCGCTCCCCCCCACCCCATGCTAGAAATGGTCAGATGCTCGGGGACGAGCGGGGCCGGGCACCGCCGACCACCTCCGACCACATGCATGGGACTGACATCTGCGTTGCAGCCTGAACCAGCAGCATGTGCATTCACCGAGAAGGCCATGTTTTGGGACACACACACGCCTTCACAAATTTAAAAGAACTGGAATCCTATCCAGTATGCTTTCTGACTATAACAGAATTAAACTAAAAATGAGTAACAGGAAGATATCAATCTCCAAACACTTGGAAAATAAACAACACACTTCTAAATAATTCATGAGTCAAAGAAGAAGTCTTAAGGGAAATAAGAAAATCAGAAAATATTTTGAACTGAATGAAAATAAAAACACATCAAAATTTGCGGGGCTGAGGGGGGCAAGTCCCAACAGTGCTGCAGGGAGATCTGCACCAGTAAATGCGTGAACTGGGAAAGGGAAAAGTAACAGAGAAAACTCAAGGAATCCACAAAAAAGTTCTTTGAAGAAGGCTCAATAAACAGATAAACTTGTAGGAAGAATAACAAAGAAAGAAGACACAAACTGTCCATGAGAGAAATGGGAAGGGCCCTATTGCAGATCACATAGGCACGCAAAGATTAATAAGGGGACACCGTGAGAAACACTATGTGCATAAATTCAACAACCTAAATGGAGTGTTTTTCCTCAAAAACCACACTCTACCAAAATTCACCCAAGATGCATTAGATGACCTGAGTAGTCCTATAACCATTACAGAAAATGAATTAATAGTTAAAATCTTCCAAATAGGAAGGCTCTAGGCCCAGATGGTTTCACTGGTAAACTCTATTCAACATTTCAGTAAGTATTTAATACCAGTTACAGGCAGTCTCCTCCAAAAAGCAGAGGAGGAGGGAATAATTCCCAACTCATTTTATGATGCTAGCATTACCCTGATACCCAAACAAGACAAAAAAGCACAACAAAAGTAAACCTCAGATGTAAAGAGCCTCAGCAAAATGCTAGCAGACCCAATCCAGCACATATAAAATAAATGATATACCACAAGCAAGTGGAGTTTGTCTCGGGAATGCGAGCCTGATTCAATACTAGAAAATCAGCCAACATGATCTACTATATCAGCAGCCTAATGAGAGAAAAATCAGTTGATGTAAAAAAAGCATTTGCAAATATTTCATCCAGGAGCACCTGGGTGGCTCAGTTGGGTTAGCATCCGAGTCTTGATTTTGGCTCAGGTCGTGATCTCAGGTTGTGAGACTGAGCCCTGTGTTGGGCTCTGTGGTCAGCACAGAGTCTGCTTGAGATTCTCTCTCCCTCTCCCTCTG